GGCGGGTAATGTAACGCGATCTTAAAAAACTTCTTTTCTGGCTCAATGTTCTCGATTTAAATGACATTCGGCGAGAACTCTAAGAACACTGTTCCTAATGATGTATTTCATAGATTTGGGTCTAGTAGTATCTTAACATATCCGTTTCTGTGTACTGGGAGTTCTCTGCTCTAATAAGCATAGGATGTAGGCAATAGAGGTGTCCCTACTCCAGCGTTATAAAGGGCTGAGCCTTATTAATCACTTTTAGATAACGTCTGTTAAGCTGAATTAATGGCTAGTTTCTTGAGTTAGCCTTGTTGATGGCTCCAGGGTTGGTTCAGTCAACTGCCCTCCTTAGGGTGCGATCATGTGGATCCTATTTGCCACTTGTCCCAATTCTGCAATTCAAATCCCTAAGAATCTAAGCTCCTCAGACCAATTAGCTCAGGGAAATGAAACTGCAAAAGACCTCTGGTGGCTGGTCAGAGACCTCCCCAGCCCTGCTTCTGTCCTAACAAGCACAATTATTGACTTGCTTAATTACTATTGGCACAGTGGAACTGTTTTAGCCTGATCCTAAATCTAACGGGAGGGACACAGAAACGGGATTCAAGAAGGGGGGAGATTTGATTCAAAATTTTTAATAAAAGGTAATCCATTCCCTATTTGTGGGAGTCCTGGAAATGGAGTAATTGGAAATCAAGTTATTGGAAATTTAGAACTGCAAAATTTCTTTGGTAGATGAGGCAACTATGCAGACCCCGGAGACTTTTTCTCAGGCTGCATGATGACTCTCCACACAGAAATACAGTATAGACGGGTTCTTGCTGAAAGTGGCTTCCCTCCGCTTTCCCCAAAGCCGAGAAGTGAAAGATTGTTGAAAGGTCTCTGGAGATGTCAGCTTTAAAGATGAAAGACACCTGCGACTTCGCCACTTTCTCCACTAACACCACCCACAGGACTCCAAAACACTGATGCTGTTATCTGTCTCACGTAGAATGGAACTCTGAAGATCATTGATCGAAAAAAGCACATTTTCAAGCTGGCCCAAGGAGAATACATTGCTCCAGAGAAGATAGAAAATATCTACATCAGGAGTAAACCTGTGCTGCAAATTTTTGTACACGGGGAAAGCTTATGGGTAATATATATTGTTTTAACAATAAGCCATTTTCAGGAACAGACCACACCGATTCCTGTAGCTACAGGAAATCTGTATAGTTGGGTTTAGGATAAGAAGACCTGAGCTTAGGACAAGAAGACCCGAAGCCACATTCTAAACCTCAAATAAGGAAATATGAATGGGAAAAAAACCCAAAAAATGAAAAAAACCCTCATTTTAATGAGTAGACTCATTAAAATGGTTACAGTAAAGGGTAGCAGCCATTCAGTAAGAGAGCCCATCACAGAGTTTCCACATGAGTGCCTCTGGCACAAACTGTTTTATATACACTGCGTTTAAACTTAGCTTTTTGGGAGTGGGGGAGGGTTGATCTGGACAGGCCAGAGATGCTTTAAGCTTAATGTTGAACACGACTTCATTTTGAACAATTGAATTTGAACAGAACATCTTTGTAAAGAGATGTTAGGTGGGAAGATGAGCTTAGAGTTCCATGAGCGTTTGAAACATATGGTGAGAAAAGAGGACACTAGTGCTGAATTTGAGGTCTTGGGAAATACCTCTTTCAAAGATAGGATCCCTTACTCGCTGGGAGACACTGTGATAACGGTTCTCACAGGCCTCATTTCCTTTCCAGTCATTCTTAATAGCAGTGGTGGTTCCTGACCCAGACGTACTTCCCTCATTTGCAGCCAAAATTGGGGTTAAGGGCTCTTTTGAAGAACTGTGCCAAAACCAAGTAAGTCTCACTTAGGAAAGCTTTATGCACTTCTACAGGGCCCATCATGGGAGAGGGGAGGCCCCGCCAGCTCAGGCACCCGCAAGTTCCCAGAGCCTTCTCTCTGGACGAACAGATTCTTCCTGAATTTGTGACAGGTGGTGCAGCCCAAAGAGATTGACTGGTTTTATTAGACTGGAAGATAAGATAGAGAGTTTAAAAACGAGAAGAAGAACAACAACAACAACAAAAAACCCTATTCTTTTTATAGTAATATGTTCTTTGTGGGGAAAAAAATTGGAAAATCAAAAATTTTTAAATGCCATTCAGAGAAAAAACCCTTTTGCGATTTAGACTTGCCTTTTCTTACTTTTTTTTCTTTGAATGATATTAGTCATAAAATGTGCTTGTATATACTCCTATACCCTGCTTAGATCCCAGTGAACTTTTGTAGGAAGTCTGAGTGGTTCATGCTCAGCCTTTCATTTTGACTTTCAAACAGCCATGCTTTAAGCCATGTTTTGTATTCTTAGGTTGTAAAGGAAGCCGTTTTAGAAGACTTGCAGAAAATTGGGCAAGAAAATGGCCTTAAAACCTTTGAACAGGTATGCACTACTGATGTTATTTTGGTCTCAAGTCACACTAGAAAGTTTTAAAGTCTGCATTTATAATGGGGTTTAAATGTAGTTTCCAAGAAATTGGTTTTAGATTTTGTACCATGACCCCAATGACTACAAATGGCAGTGACCGTTTTGGTTATTTGTACAGCCTCTTCTTGCTGTTGATTATCCATTCTCCCCACTCATTTCTTTTCCGAATTATAAGTATGAGAATGGGCATGTGTTGTTCTCTTTCTCTTTACCACTTCACCAAACCCACTTGTATAAGGTGAAAATATTCTTTAATGTTTTTCACATAGCACATAGATGGCTCTGCAGGAAAATCCAAATCACTAATAAACACCTGTGATGGGGTGTGTGCACCTTCTCTTCCAGGTCAAAGACATTTATCTTCATCCGGAGCCATTTTCCACTGAAAATGGGCTCTTGACACCAACACTGAAATCAAGGCGGGAACAGCTTGCCAAGCACTTTCAGACACAGATCAACAGCCTGTATAAGGACATCTAGGAGTAGGCTAAGGTACTGCTGGGAGGGGCTCAGTAGTATGTCTTGTGGGAATATGACTTAAAAACTAGTCTTATGTTCACTACTTGTCTTTCTGCCTGTCTATTGTTCTACCTACTAAATTATAAAACTATAGTTTGGGGGCTTTTTAAAAATAATATTAAGTGAGAAACTTATAATGTGGATGCTTGGCCCCGAACTAAATAAATCTTGTCCTTCCCATCTTAAATGTTGCTAACATTTAGGTTTTCGGGCTACTTTTATCAACATTCCTTTCTTCAAGGTCCATTTGTATTCTTTGTCCTTTCCCCATGACCTCCAACCTGTACAAGTGACCACTAGTTCAAGAGCCAAAGGGACCCTCTGACTTCTTGTTTTCTAGTAAAACCTAGTATGTCAACAGTTCCAGCACTTAGGCCTTCCAGTGTTCAAGTTAAGAGACTTTTCAATGACAAAAAGCTGTCCGTAATTCATGTTTTCTTACTCCACCAAAACATGAAAATTTTGAACCAGCCAGTCACTACTATTAATCATATCTGTGAGACTTCTTCTATGTACTTCTGTGTATACTAAGGGAAAAGTTTGATCATACTGAACATTTCCCAGACTCTCTAGTGTCTCTGACTTGGGACAATTAAAAACTGAACCTATGACATGTTGCCTAAAAAGCATGTTCTTCAAGTGTTATCTACAGTAATATCTGGTAACTAATTCTGTTCCCTACAGTTTGCTACTGAG